GACCGGATTCCTGCTCACCTCTCAGCATCACCTCCAGTCACTTTCCCCTGCAACTCCTCTGCTCTAGAATTGCCGGGCTCTGTCAGTTCCCGTGATGCGTAGTGCTCACTCACGCCACCACAGCTTTGTCCATGTCAGCCTGGAAATCCCTCCCCACCTCACTCACTGGATAAATCCTACTCATTCTTCAGGACTCAGGTACAGTGCCACTTGATGTTTCGTTTCTGATGACAGCCAAATCAAGTTCCAACTCCTTTCCCCAGCTTCAAAAAGTGAGCTGTGGAGTCAGAACCACTACCTAACAGCTATGTAATCCTGAGGAATTCATTTAACCTCTCTAAGTTTTCTCTTGAAGGTAATGATGGTGCTTAACTGGTTCTGATTATTAAATGAGACCGGTGTTTCCCACTCCTCACAGCACACCACCACTGATGACCACCTTCATAACTGTCATATCTCTATAATTTTCTAAATAAATTGACTCACATTTTAAAAATTATTTTTTTAAAGAGATGGAGTCTCACTCTGTCACTCATGCTGCTGGAGTGCAGTGACACTGTTACAGGTAGTTAGACAAGCAAGAGCAAGGCAGGAGAGGGCTCTTCCCCCACCCGCTAAGAATGTCAGGTGACGGTTTGGCAGTGATCACATTACCTCTCTAAAAGTGATACACTGGCAGCCAGCACCAGGGAGAGGCCATCTCCTGATGGTCCACACCTGTTGCACTAAAGTGTTAATTGAATGCAAGCTCCAGGGAGACACAATTTCCTGGGCGTATGCATTAAGAGACAAAATAGCAGAGGATGACCCTCTGGGGGTACTCCACCAGAAAAGGGAAGAAAGCCTCAGATAGGCATGTGTACAACTTCCTAAACACTGTGAGTGCTCATCTCCCAAGGATAAAGAGGGCACTGTGCATGCCGGCAGCCCACCCTGAGGGAAGAATCATGGGAAAGGGGCCAGCCTATGAAGTCCTAGGATCAAGGTTCAACACTGCACCTGACCTTCACGTACCTGCTTGGGTCCAAGTGAATTTTCCTTTCTTTCCTGTTCTAAATCCTTTTTAAATAAACTACTCTGAAACTTGCCTCAGTCTCTTTTTCTGCCTTATGCTCCTTGGATGAATTCTTTCTTCTGAGGAAGCAAGAATTGAGGTTGCTGCAGACCCGTATGGATTCACCACCAGTAACTCGGATATCTCCCACTGGTAAAAGTGAATCATAGCCTGCTACATCCTCAAAGTCCTGGCGTCAAGCAATCCTCCCTTGTCAGCCTCCTGAGTAGCTCAGACTATAGGAGTATGCCATCATGCCCAACTTAAAACTAATGTTTAATATGCTTGGTTTTCTGTACAATGTGTATTACTCAGTGCTAAGTGGTGGAAACAGAAGCCCCTCTAAGTATTTCAAGCAGAGAGGGATATAAGAAAGATAATTGTATGCTTTCAACATTGTTGGAAGGGCTGGAGGAGAAGCCAGGGGTCACAACATAAGTATCGGTTTCAAGGTCACACAACCAGAATTTCAACCCAGAGGTCAGGAAGCTACTGGGTAGCTGCTATTGCCACCATGGCAACACCACCACTGCACCACTGCCTCATGCCTGCTTATGAGAAAGATTGAACTGCGAACGCTGCACAATTCCAAAAGGAACAATGCAGCCTATGTCATTGATCATCTCACCCAGTGTCCTCTGAAAAAAGACAAAGTAAGGGATGAAGTGTGGGTCATTTAAGGAACAAAGCTAATCCTGGTTTTTGCCTCACTGGAACACTTGCACTGCTCTTATAATAGCCTTTCTTAAAAGGATGTTTATTTTCTGACTCCCATTTCCCTCCACCTCTCTTCCATCCTGCTGCTTCCAATTCTCTTTAGCTTCTTTAAGCAACTGCAGGTGGCCATTTGCTATCAAAGACTGGGAGAAGGTTTAAAGGAGGGATATTCATAAGATTTGGTCCTTCATTTAATAAGCATGTGTGATACCTGTGTCTGCTCTGCATACAGGAGCAAAAATGAGTTTAAGATGTAATCCCTTATGTAAAAACATATAGACATGGCACCAGACGCTGTGCTAAGCCCTTAACATTCATGATCCCATTTACTTCTCTCAACTCTCTAAGATCAGTACTGCTCTAATCCTCATATTCAGATAAGAAAAATGAGGCCGGGCGTGGTGGCTCAAGCCTGTAATCCCAGCACTTTGGGAGGCCGAGGCGGGTGGATCACGAGGTCAAGAGATCGAGACCAGCCTGGTCAACACGGTGAAACCCCGTCTCTACTAAAAATACAAAAAATTAGCTGGGCATGGTGGTGCGTGCCTGTAATCCCAGCTACTCAGGAGGCTGGGGCAGGAGAATTGCCTGAACCCAGGAGGCGGAGGTTGCGGTGAGCCGAGATCGCGCCATTGCACTCCAGCCTGGGTAACAAGAGTGAAACTCCGTCTCAAAAAAAAAAAAAAGAAAAAAGAAAAATGAGACTAAGAGAGAATGGGTAATCTTTTTAATGTCACCCAAGCTCTAGAGTTGCAGAGCCAGATTCAAACCCAGCTCTGTATTACCCCAAAGCCACTGCCCATTCCATGACAGTGTCATTTCTTGTTATTGAAAAGTGTGGTGTTTTGCCAAGGTGCCATCAAAATGACTAGCACCTAAATCTGGTAACTTTAAACCATCAGTTCCCCAAGACTTAGATCTCCCTAAGAAATCCCTACAAGATCCTGTGCCATCAGCCCTCAAATGTAGCCACCTGGCTTAGGGGTCTAATCAAAAACCTTAAAACTCCAGGGAGGAAGTAGTTGCTTCTGAGTGTGGTATTGAAGCCTCCCAGAAAGATTTGACATTTGATCCAAGATTGGAAAGATAAGTAAATATTGCCAGGCAAAGGTGGGGCAAAGAGCATGTTCCAGGTAAAAATGCAGATGTGGGAAAACCCAGGGCCTGTTTGAGGGGTGTGTGGAACACTCTGGGCACAGCTGCAGATGAGGAGAGGACAAGTATGTGGTGCTTACCCTAGTCATGGGACACAGGAAATACCAGGTACATTTTCCTGGAAGGCCTTGGAACTCACTGTTAAGAGAGCAGCCTCAGAGTCAGAGGCCTGGCTATAAATTCTATCTCAGCCACTTAAAAACTGTGAGACCTTGAGCAATGGCTTAACTCTCAGTTGTCACTTCCCCATCAAAATGGTGAACTAACAGTCTTGCCTCATGTTGGTCATGAGGATCAAAGGACAAAGGCCCTCTTAAGTGCTCTCTCTAGTGTCCTAATTAGGGAAAGGGAGTCAGGCCGGTGAGAGCAGGGAAAAGCAAAAAGAAGCAGATAAACTACAAGTCTGCCTTTCTACATGGTCTGGGAGACACAGCCCTCCTACACAAATAACTCATAATCTCCCTGTGCCCAGCTATCACCAGACCTGCAGCTGATATGATAAAATGCAACTTAGCTCCCTGCAACCTTGATGTTAATCAGTACTGAGTGTAGCACTCTGTAGCCCAAGAACCAACTATAAAACCTCTAGCGAGCCTTTGTTTCCTTGCAGTCAGTGCCTCTTCTACTGATCCTGCCCACTGCTTTTTTGAAAGGTATTTTCACACTTTCTCTAATGAATCTGCCTTTTTCTACCTACAACTGTCTTGGTAAATTCTTTTTTTTTTTTTTTTTTTT